GTACCAAGTATTGCAAAGGAAATAATACGGAAAGAAGGCAAGTATTGATACTAATTAGGTAAAGTATTTGCAAATGATTAAAGCAAATCTAACTGAAGATGCAATTGAGAATGAAAACGTGTATATGTGGGAATACGGTTATATGAGGAATGTCTACTTTTCCACTTAGTTTTGCTATGAACCTAAAACTGCTCTTGAAAAGAAATAGTTAAAAAAACCAAAATGTGAGCAGTGGTTTGACTTATAGATTGACAAGGTATGTCACTTAACCATAAACCTAATAATACTAAGTTCAATATAAAAACCCCCAAATATATTTGCTGTGAGAGAATATTAATCTGTGTATGAACAGTTATATGCATTACCATACCAGCAAATTTCCCAAAGCAGCATTTAAATGTAGTTACATTCTCAAAAGGTCACTCTGAGAAGATGATGTCACTTTTCCCAGCTGATATGTTTTTTTTTTTTCCCATTTATTTTTACTAGTTGGAGACTAATTACAGTATTGTAGTGGTTTTTGCCATACATTGACATGAATCAGCCATGGATTTACATGTGTTCCCCATCCCGATCCCCCCTCCCGCCTCCCTCCCCACCCCATCCGTCTGGGTCTTCCCAGTGCACCAGCCCCGAGCACTCGTCTCATGTATCCAGCCTGGGCTGGTGATCTGTTTCACCCTTGATGGTATACTTGTTTCAATGTTGTTCTCTCAGAACATCCCACCCTCACCTTCTCCCACAAAGTCTAAAAGTCTGTTCTGTACATCTGTGTCTCTTTCTGTTTTGCATATAGGGTTATTGTTACCATCTTTTTAAATTCCATATTTATGCATTAGTATACTGTATTGGTCTTTTTCTGGCTTACTTCACTCTGTATAATGGGCTCCAGTTTCATCCATCTCATTAGAACTGATTCAACTGTTTTCTTTTTAATGGCTGAGTGAAATTCCATAGTGTATATGTACCACAGGTTCCTTATCCATTCGTCTGCTGATGGGCATCTAGGTTGCTTCCATGTCCTGGCTATCATAAGCAGTGCTGTGATGAACACGGGTGCACATGTCTCTTTCAGATCTGGTTTCCTCGGTGTGTATGCCCAGGAGTGGGATTGCTACAGTAGGCATCAACTATGATGCTCCAAAGAAGACAACTGGGAATCTTAAGCATAAATTTTACTACAGGCCTTGCTTTCTCCAATAGGAGGAACTGAAGCAGCAGGCATGGGACTTCCCTGGTGGTTCAGTGGTTAAGATTCTGCACTTACAATGCAGGATGTGTGGGTTCGATCCCTCTTGGGGGAACTTAAGATACCACGTGCCACACTGCCAAAAACACAGGAGCTGCCGTTCTGTGCCTTCTCTTAAGGTGCGCTGGTAGTGCCCTCATGCTGAAATGGAGAAGGATTCTGTTAACAGCCATCTCTTGTCACATTACACAGTTTCATTACTAACATGACTTACTTGCTGTGGAAATAGAGCCATTAGAAACTAGGAAGGTGCAAGATTAAGAGCAATTTCAGATATTAATCTGGAAGTAATGTGTGTAAGAGAAAAACAGGGCAAGCATGAAAGCTGGGAAGCCAATATATTGGTAATACACTGCACATGTGGGTTTATAAAATCTTAAAAGAGTACTATGTTAACAGGGTTTCCCAGGTGGTAAAGTGGTAAAGAATCCACTTGCCAATGCAGGAGATCAAAGAGATGTGGGTTTGATCCCTGGGTCAGGAAGATCCCCTGGAGTAGAAAATGGCAACCCACTCCAGTATTCCTGTTTGGAACACTCTCCCATGGAGAGAGGAGCCTGGTGGGGTATAGTCCTTGGGGTTGCAAAGAGTCAGACATGACTGAGCATACATCCACACATAAAATATGTTATCAGTAATTAGTAGTGATGTTAACAGAAGTAACGGACCAGAGACATTGCTAAGGAATTCATTGGCTGAATCACTGACAGAAGCATCCCAGGTGACCAGGGATCTAGGATCTAGGTAGTAGATGCTAAAGAGAAAAATCCTGACACTGACTCACACACACACACACACACACGTGCGCACGCAGATAACTTTTAAAGTTTAACACACACACACACACACACGCAGGATAACTTTTAAAGTTTAAGAAAAACCTTCAGTCAGGATTTAGGAAAATCCACAGAGGGTTTTCAAGGGGAAATGGGGTCAACATAAGGCCTAAGTGTAAAACAGTAATTACCATTGGTGTGGGAGTTAATGAACCATATGCCCCACGTATCTGAACTTACACTGCCTACAGCTCACGAAATAGATGGCCTGTGGAGTAGAAGACACTGTGCCAAGAACTTCCAGCAAGAAATGAAAACAAAGCAAACCCAAGTGGTGGATTCATATGCAAATGTCAGTAATTTTTTTGTTTAAATTTTGAGAAAGGTCTTTATTTGCTTTACACAGCAGTAAAAACTGAGTATTATACATTGCCTGTGTGTGGGTTCAGTCCCTAAGTCAGGTCTGGCCTTTTTGCAACCCCCATGATTGGCCCACCAGGCTCGCCCAGCCATGGAATTTTCCAGGCAAGAATACTGGAGAAGGTTACCATTTCCTGCTTCATGTCACGTTTTCTCGTTGACTTTCCTGGTGGCTCAGATGGCAAAGAGTCTGCCTGCAATGCAGGAGACCAGGGTTTGATCCCTGGGTTGAGAAGATTCCCCTGCAGACAAGAATGGCTACCCACTCTAGTATTCTTTTTGGAGAATTCCATGGACAGAGGCAGGCTACAGTCCCCGGGTTGCAGAGCCAGACATGACTGAATGAGCACTTTCTAACTGAACTAGTATTCTTATGAAAAGACAAAGAGATGGCAGCCTGGACTTTTTTTCAAGACAACCACAGGAAATTTTCTGGTGGCCCAGTGGCTCAGCCTCCATGTTTCCACTGGCGGGGGCATGAGTTCAATCCCTGGTCAGGGAGTTAAGATACTACATGCTGCACAGCCAAAAGAAGCCAATCATATACTATGTATGAGAGACATACCTTACATATCAGGTTATGAGCAGGCTGACAGCAGTAAGCATGGTAGAATATACCACATGAATACCCCCCCAAAAATCCTGATGCAGCTATTTTACTATTTTAAAAATACACATTTGGTTGTGTCAGGCCTTGGTTGTGGCATGCAGGATCTCCCGCTGCAGTATGTGGTCTCAGCTCCCCAACCACATATGGAGCCCAAGTCCCCTGACATGTAAGGTGGGCTCTTGACCCCTGGATCACCAGGAACCCCCTGTAGCTATTGTAATTTCAGTCAGAGCAGACGTAAAGCCAGGAGCATTACCAAAGGCTCTTCATTTTACCCTTTCATAATGATACAAGGTCTAACTCACCAGGAAAACAGTTCTGTATTAGATAACTAATAACAGCTTCAAGATACATGAAGCAAAAATTGCCAGAATTATTAAGAGGAGGAGAAATAGGCAAATCTACATTCATACAGGTAGAGGTATTTTTCTAACTGATAGAACCAACAAATGAGAAGGAAAAAAAAAAAAGAATAGGGGTACAGGATATTTGAACAAAAATAATCATTTAATTGACATTAAAACAATGCCTCCACACTCAGAAAATTAAGTTCTCATGAAACATTTACAAAAATTGACCACTGCTTATCCATAAAAAATAACCCTCATCAAATGTTAAAGAATAAAAAATATACAGAATGTTTTTTTTTTTTAACCTTTTTTTTCCCTTTATTTTTATTGGTTGGAGGCTAATTACTTTACAATATTGTAGTGGTTTTTGCCATACATTGACATGAATCAGCCATGGATTTACATGTGTTCCCCATCCTGAACCCCCCTCCCACCTCCCTCCCCATCCCATCCCTCTGGGTCATCCCAGTGCACCAGCCCCGAGCATTTGTCTCCTGCATCCAACCTGGACTGGCGCAGAATGTTTTTAATCACAGTAAAATTATTTTAGAGATCACTAACAAAAAGATAGCTCCAAAAACCCCAAAACCCTCTATGTTTAGAAGTAAATATGTGTGAAAGAATAAATTATAATGAAAATTAGAAAATATTTTAAATCAAATAACAGCGAAGGAATACCATATCCCAATGTGTGGAATGCTGTGAAAGCTGAGTAGAAGAAACTTACAGCTTTAAGTATGTATATTAGAAAAGATATTAAGTCAGCAGGCCTTACCTGAATGGTGGTAGACTGGAAAGAGGCAGCAAATTAAGCCCAAAGTTAAGATGGCTCAGTGGTAAAGAATCTGCCTGCCAGTGTAGGAGATGTGGGTTCAGTTTCTGGGTTAGGAAGATCCCCTGGAGAAGGAAATGACAACCCACTCCAGTATTCTTGCCTGGGAAATCCCATGGACAGAGGAGCCTCGGGGTCTACAGACCATGGGGTCACAAAGAGTCTCAGCGACCAAACAACCACCTGTACTCTTAACATTTATAACATTCTGGAGAAATCCAACAAACAGCAGCACTCACTCCAAAACTTCAGACAACTGCATCATGTACAGTTTACACCACAGCTGTTAAAAAAGAAAAAAAGACACTGAAGGTCTGGACTAGATCCAGCAGTTTAGGTAACTGTGAAATTACGTAAAAAGCCACCGGCATTTAATAAAACAGCACTAACAAGCAGATTTAATCAGGGGACACCTGATCTGACAACACCAATGTGTGCTTTTAGAAAGGAATTATTGTAACAGCAGTTTCTCCATGGAAATATAAAACTGGATCTTTGGAATCTTAATACTTACTTCTGCATGAAATTTATGTAATTCTCTAAACATACTTAAATTATCCAAACATGGCAGTTAATTGCACTACTTTTGATTTTCCTGTAAGATCACGTTCAAATGTAATAATAAGTCTTAACGGTATCACGTGTTCCCTCGGGGGTATTTGCGATGTGCGCGACTCCCCTCCTCTTTAAATGTATTAGCTCAGTAATGAGTGACGGCGACTGACTTATGAGTTGAAAGTAGTGACCGCCTTAACATCAAAGCTTATGCTGTAAACAAGATTCAACATCTTTTATTTACATATTTATGACATACATTAATGGTCTTACCCAATTAAATCTAATAACAGTGGTGACAATGGAACATAAAGACAATTCCAAATTTTAGATTGAAATACATTTTCACTAACTGAAACATACGATTAAACAAGCAGCCATTATAAAGCTGTAGACTGTATGTCAATCCACTTAAAATTGAAAGTCAGCCACACAGCTACCGAAACAATGGGAAATGTGCAAATGCAAATATTACATATGCAGGTATAGCACATGCATGGCATCACATTTACTTTTCTTTTAAGCCACTTAAAGTAAACTGGAATAAGCATTTTAATAATATATATACATCAAGGCACATTCTTCTCTTGTGCTTTAGGAATGATTTACATGTGATTTGCTTATATCTTAATTTTACACTTTATATTAGCTTATTTTAATACTTAGAAGTTTAATTTTAACAATTATAACTTGAGTGGTAGTTTCCCAGGAGAGAAATGTGATATCTCCCCATGGTTATTTTGAAAAATGAGAAAATTAGATAGCTTACAGAGGTGGCAATTTAAAAATCAAACACACAAATTAACTTTTCAGGCAACTTTTAAAAAGAATTTACTTTTAACAATTTGGTGGGCCATAATCAATTCCTTTAAGTAGTATACTATAATGAGGGTTGAACTGAAGAATTTTCAATATTCCGAAATTACTTGACAATCATATGGTATCCACAGGACTGCTGTAGATATCTATATTGTTATCCTATTTCTAAACTGCAGTTTTTTAACAAAATTGAACAATTAAACATGATACAAAAGCTGCAAACAACCAAACCTAGTTTTAACCTTTTTCCCCCCATTTATTTTCTTGTTATCAAGGAGAAATTTCCCATCAACAGAGATTATTAACAGTGTTCTTTGCTCATGGTCAATTTACTTGCCTTGAAGGTTAGCATAGTAAGGCTTAATAGGCATTTCATGCATTTGAATTGCATTTGAAAAATTAGCTATTCATTTAAGGGTTCCCCATACAGATTAAGTACACTGTGCAAACTTGATTACAACATGTAACTCATTAAGTGCTTTACAACAGAATAAAGAATCCCTGACTTTATAAAGGGATAAAATAAATAGTAAGTCAAGAACCACAGATGTGAAGCATTTAAAACAATGTAATATACCTATGCCTCCTACTAAAATGTTTTATATTAGAATTTTTAATCCATAAACAGGGCCAATGAAATCACAGAACCTCTATATTTTGAGAATAAAAGAGAAGAGCCAATTAGTACAGCCTTTTAAATTCAAAGTATATATAATCATGTCAAAATGCAAATAAAACTGTACGTTTTTTAATTTAGTACAGTTCTTTTTAAACATTAATTCATAAAAGGTATACCATGATAATCCACTGCCACCAAATAGATTTGTTTTCAATTTGTTTACAGTAAATGGACTTTTCTACAGAACCATTAGCTAGACAAATCGTTATATGTTAAAACACCACTGAACAGCCCAGAACCTGGACATACGAACTCCAGGCAGATAGTCACACAGTATTGCAAACAAACGCTCTGTGAGTTCAATGCACATGACACGTCCCTTCTTTTTCTCTCTGTTACTACCTTCATTCTGTTTCTGAAATATGCGCCACCTCTACTTCCACAGTCTGAATGGCTTCTGCGACTTCCGAGAGCTTCTGTCCTTGCTGCTGCGCCAGCACGTAATTAACCACCTGCATAATACTCTGGTCAGAGAGCGTGGATACTGATGGACATTCTTCAGTCGCTGCAACAGCTTCCAGGGCTTCCATGCTTTCTCCTGTCACCACCACAGTTTCAAGTTCTGGAGGACCGCTGTTCTCTTGTTCCTGCATGTCCGCTGTTAAGATGCTAACAGCATGCTCCACCTGAGTTCCCTGGTTGTGAAACTGAAGGGTATCTTTTTCCAGCATGATCTTGCAAGGCACATAGTCCCTGTGGAATTTAGTCATGTGTTTACGGAGTGTTCTAGCATCTATGTAGGCTTCACTACACACCGGACAGACGTAAGGCCGTTCACCTGTATGTGTTCTGACGTGGCGTTTCAGGGATCGGGCATCAGCCCAAGCGACTCCACATGTTAAGCACTCAAATGGCTTAACGCCTAGTAAAAGGGGGGAAAAAAAGGAAAAGAGAGGCGTGTGTGTGTGTGTGGTGAGGTCCAAGTACCAAAATTTATTACAGCTACCTGATAAATAATGCTTTTAAATACACTAGCCCATAAGCCTTACTATCTTGACTATGGCCATCTTTGAGTTAGGGCCAAATGGTTTCCCCTAGAATAAAGCAGATTCTGGACATAACCTCTCTAAAGATGTTCCTATGGATAGAAGTTACTCTGAGACAATTTCACTGTCTCACTCAAAATTTCACTCAGAACTTCCACTCTGAGTTTCTGTGAAAGTCCCGTTACACCTTCACAGCAATCCTGTAATCCTAGGGATAAAAAACAGAAGCTTCAAGTAATCCATTCCAGCATAAAAATATTGATTCAGAATGTTAAGCTCACTAAGAAAGGAATCTGTCTATCTACACAACAATTAGGTAGTCAGATTGACAATCACTGCTATTATTTGAATAAATGTTCCATAATATGGGATTAATCTCTCATTAAGGAAGATGAGATAACAGACAAGAGGAATGGAGAAGGAAGAATCACTACTGGACTGGTTTTTACTCGATTTAAAGGTCTGTCTATTAAACTACATGAGGTATAGTTACCTCCATGGTTGTTCATGTGTCTTCTATACTCTCTCAGCTGAGTGAATTTTCTTCCACATTGTTCACACACCCGTTCCAGGTTTTGCTTTGCTCGTCCTTTTTTTCCATGGGTAGCTTTCTTTACATGCCTTCTGAACAATGCTTTTTCATAAAATTCCTTGCCACATATATTACACCTAAAATAGAGGAAAAACAAATTATCTTTTCCTAAACACCAGAACCATACTAATGGACTAACAATTAATCCAAGTACATACATATCTCAATTAAGCTCAGACTCACCCCAAATTTACCCACCTGTACGGCTCAGTGACAGAATGAGATTTTACATGGGAATACCAGTCTTTCTTCCAACTATAGCACTTATCACAAAATTGGCACTGGAATGGCTTCACACCAAGATGTTTGTTCATGTGCTGGCGAAGGTCTCTAGCTTCAAAGAAACTTTTCTCACATCTGCAATAACAAAGTCCATTCACCCAAATGGATCATCTTATTCTTTTAAAAGAAGTTTCCAAGAACTCAGTATATTCCTGGGTTTCTAGAACTACAAGATGATCCCAATTTAAAACAAAGCAAAATCTTAGTATTGCAATCTTGCATCAAGGCTGGAGTGTGTTAAGTTCTTTTAGTTCCAAAGTACTAGAAACATTTTAGAAAGAATCCTGCAAAGCTCCCAAAGGTCATTGTAAAGGTGATTATCTTCTATCTTCTCGACTCCTTGGGATCTCCCCCTTTTACGCCCCTTTTCACCCTCTCGCATTCTGTCCATCTGCTGGGGTAGGATTTACTCTGGCCCATAAGGATGGGGCAACTGACTGAGGTGCAGGTCAATCAGAGCATAGCATCCTCTCAGCCACTGACTGATCCACAGAAAACCAAATGACAGCCAGTCAATGGGAGTGACCCCAGGACTTTTATAGGAACAGGAGAAATGCAGCTTGACAATCTGGGAGTTGAGGGGATGTGAGGCTGAAACCACTGCCACCGTCTTGTCCACGTGAAGCCTCACAGACATCAAGTGCTAATGAATCTGAAATCAATTTACATTAAACCATTCAGACTCCTAGTTCATTCAAGCCAGTTTAAACTGGGTTTTTTTACATTTGCAGCTATAAAGGTATGCATAATAAACTACGTTTCTTTTAAAATAAGACTGAGTAAGGGGACTTCCCTGCGGTCCAGTGTTAAGACCTCCCCTTCCAAGGCAGGGGGTTGCGGGTTTGATTCCTGGTCAGGGAGTTAAGATCCCACATGCCTCAGGGCCAAGAAACCAAAACATAAAACAGAAGCAATACTGAAACAAATTCAAAAAAGGCTTTAAAAATGGTCCACATCAAAAAATCTGTAAAAAATAAAAATAGACTGATCAGAGTGACATCAACAAATATGGGCAGAGTTGGTAACTCCAACAGCCCAACCTTCCCCAAAATCAGTAGACAAAGTGGCAAAAACAGTCAGAAGCAATTTTACTGGAGCTCTGGAAATTGATTAAAAGTTTACAGCAACCAGGTAATTATTTAATTAAGAAAAGTTGTTGAATCCTGGTAAAAGAGCTTCGTGCATTTCAACTCGTCCTGACCCCATCCCTTGGCTCCTCAGCGCAGCAGACACAGAATTCATTCTCGCTGTAGGTTCACAGTATCAGGGGGACTTAAACCTAACTAGTTGTTTTGAACTATCTGGTACCTCTCAAAGTGCTTGCTTTTATTTAGCCAAATTCCCCCAGGGCTGAGGACTTGGGGGTGGTGGGGAGAGTAGAGAGGAGACATTGGTTGGAAACATTTAAAGGTAAACGCATTAGCCACAGCTGCTGGGGCAAGGAATGGCAGCTGGGAGGGAAGCCTGGAGAATGAGATACTTCAGGAAATAAGACTTTTGAAGAACTCTCACATATTCCCAGGCATCTAGAAGTCCAAATTATTTGCCCAGGGCTGGCACGTGTGCAGAAAAGACCTGAAAATGCTCTGCGCTCTCACCAATGGTTGACTCTGCACAAACAGAAAGAGAAGACCAAGGCAGGATTGTAAACTGCCTGGCTGAGCACTGAAGGCATTCTGGAATCAGTGGCGATGCTTGCACAACACTCAATATACTGAGAGCCACTGAACTGAACACTGTAACATGATAAATGTTATGTTACATGAACTTTATAAAAGGGATCTCAGGAGGTTCTGGAAAAAGAGGGAGAGGAAAGGAGTCTGAAGAAAAAGAGAAATGAGCAACGAGTCCAGTACTTCAGAAGAACTGCCTATACAGAATCGCTGCCTGGCACCAAGGGACCCTTCGTCCCTACAGTCCCTACTCCTAGGTCGCACATTTGAAGAATTTCTTTAAGTCATTTAAAATTAATGATTTGTATGGTATGAGATTTATAATGTAAATAAAACTGCTAAATAAATAAATAGGAACACCTAGACAAAGGCAAACTGATTAAAATCAAGAGTAAATAGTAAATTTTTTTAAAAAGTAAAATAATAGTTTACTATTAGATTCAACTATTCTCTTTTCTTTTTTCAGTTTTGCTGAGGTGTAACTGTCAAAACTGTAAGGTATTTAAACTGTAAAACATGATGTGTGTACACACACACACACACACACATTGTGAAAGAATTCCTACCATTTGTTAATTAACACATCCATCACCTCAGATACACATATATATGTGTGGGTTTATATAATTACATATGAATATTCAAGTTCCACTTCCTTAGCAGAGTTCAATTACAGTTGAACTTTGAAAGTGACACATTATCAACAGTGATACTGTATCAAACTGTATCTAATCAACTTCAGCCACCTCAAGTACTTTCCTTTGGAACAACTTTCAAATGAACTAAGAACACAAATTAACTGAATGGTCACAGACTAAATACTTACTGAGTACAATGGTAGCCTCGAACCTCAGGCTTTGGCTGGTGTTTCTTTAGGTGCTTGCTAAGCCCAGAGCCTCTATGAAAAGACTTCCCACAAACTGAGCAAAGGTACTTGGATTCTCCTATAAAAATGAAAAAGCACGTCACAGATCCAGCAATCAAGTGCTTGTCCCAACGCTTCGTGTCATACTTCAGAAGCTGCTTTGTCAAGTGAACACAGAAGCTATGACTTTAGGTCCCACCTCCTAAGAATTACAAACTATGTCAAATACCCTATTTTCCTCTCAACACAGTACTAGTGAGGCCATGACTGCCCAAAGAATTTGGGAGGCTTGCATGGTCATCTGGAACAGTGGAGTTGTATACAAGTTCTACAGAAGATTATCTACCCTTCATCAGCCACTTCTACATAACTGCTTTAAACATGTGAAAATAAGTATATGTGGACTAAAAATTCTAATAAAACTATAAACCACATACTTGTTGACAGCTTATTGCTTAACTTTTTAAAAAATTAATTTCTTGTAATTGGAGGATAATTACTTTACAATATTGTGGTGGATTTAGCCATACATTGACATGAAGCAGACACGTGCACCAATTTTAAAAAAAGTTTAAAAAACTTTTATACAAATAAGATAGTTCTAAAACTAGATGTAAGAACAACTTTTAAGCTTTACTCTCATTAATTAAAAACTTCACATATACAGTCTTATAGCATAATCAATACACCAGGTAAGCTAACGGTATATAACGTGTAACTATGTCAACATAAGTTTCTCATCACCTGTGTGAATACTCATATGTTCTTGAAGACTCCTTTTGGTAACAAATGACTTCACACATAGTTCACATTGGAACTGCTTTTGTGATTGATGGAGACTCTGATGTAATTTTAGACCGTGTTTGTAGATAAAAGTCTTTCCACAGACCTAAAAGAGCATGGGTATTTAAATGAGTAAAACAGAAAAAAGAGTTAAAGGCTGCTTCTGAAGAATGAAGTTAGAGAAGCTAGTATGCTATTTTATTATTTATTTATTTTTTTTTAGTATACTATTTTAAATTAAAACCTTAAATTATAAACAAAATGACAACATTTAAGTTGAAAAAAGGGCCTAAGATTTTAAGTTCGTTGATTATCTCCTGATTCTGTACTTAACAAATACTTCTGTTTTTCTTATAAGCATGTAATCTGTGGAAGAACTCAAAACAGTACCAAAAAACCATCACACTGTCTTTTCTGAAACTGGCAAACAATACACATTAAAAGAGACATGTTCTTAGTTAAGAACAATATACTCATTCACATCTATACCAACTAAAACAGTGCTTCTCAAATTCTCTATGATGAAGTATCAGTTTTTTTTCTTTTCTCAATCTATGAGGGATTTTTGTTAAACACAACAAAGATGTCAAACGTCATCAGATTGCCATGACAGTTTCTGCATTCTCGCTCTCCATTTTTTTACTTATCTTCTATGGACCACGCATCTTGAGTAGTGCTACAGAAGACCACCAGAGGTCCAATGAACACTTAATTTTTAAATATATGAATAGTGATGCTTATGACTTGGCTTCAAAGTAACTGAAGGGAAGGGGTAGGAAGGGAGTGAGTGACAGCACATAAAAAACACGAGCTACAGATAACCAACAACCTGCCCTCAGGATCCTCTAACGACCTACAGGAGAAAAGAGTCTAAAGAAGAACGGATACACAGCTGAATAACTTTGCTGTATGTCTAGAACTAACACACAATTATAAATCAACTGTATTTCAAAGTTTTTTAATTAAAAAAAAAAACCTCACAAATGACCATGTCTTAATAACTACTAAAGCTGGGTAAAGGGTACATAAGGGTTTATTCTCTTCTCTGACATTCTTTTTTCATATGATACAAAGCTTAAAAAAACAAGAGAGAAAAACATTAAAAACCTTACTGGTTCCAAAACTATCAATAAAAATAGTGGGTCATCCTTATAAGCAAGGCTACAGGTGCTGCTAGAGACTTTTCACTGTTTCAAATAGTTCAAAGCTGGCTTATCACAGGATTCGGAACCAGCAATCACATTCTGACATCTAGTCTTCAGCTTTGGAGAAGGCCACAGAGTTTAGGCAGAATTCCTGCTAAGATTTAAGTCATAGGTTCCTTCCCAAGCCAGGCTGGCCCTGCCGAACATGAAGGGATGATTTAGAAGCTGGTTATTCTCACCCAGTACCACTCTGAATTCCATCAAGCCTCCTGAACACTCTAAATAGATTTATTTCAAACTACAACTTCAGACAACAAATTAAAGGGCAAAAATGGGAATCACCCTTGACCTAGGCAACAAACTGAAAAAGTTATCGACTTTATGGGATATTTTACAAAAGTGATGTGGCTCCAGGTTCAACCAGTCTTATTGTCAGTTATATTCCAGTCATATTTTTTTTTTTTGGTGGGGGGAGGCTCCAGTCATCTTTAAATAACAAAATAAATATAACGATTTTACCTGGCATGCATGTGGTTTTACCCCCGTGTGCTTTAGCATGTGTATTCGAAGAGAATATAACTTAGGCAGCGTCCTCCCACATATGGAGCATATAAACTCTCGCTTGGTCCTGCCCTTCTCAGTCGATGACCCTGACGCCTCACTCGACGCAGAATGGGAAGCGGATGCAGCAGGTGCATCTCTCCTGGTATGTCGGATAAGATGTGCTCGCAACGAGGCACTGTACTGAAACTGTTTCTTACACAGCTAAAAGAAAAAGTAAGTTCTGCCTCAATGTATTTTCATTACAAATGTTAAGTGAAACGCAACTCATATTTCAACTTGCCATTTGTCTGTTACAATTACATAAAACACATAAACTATGTAAGAGACACAGTATACCAGGTACCAGATTATACAGCTAAAAGGGACAGATCCAGTCTCTACTCTGCAGAGCTTATAGTCTAACCAGAGAAGAGAGATTTATATGTAAACAGGTGAGAAAAGTAAGAAGGGGGAGTAATCACAGTAAGGAAAAGCCTCAGAACTGAGGCTGGGTCTTGAAGGAATGGGAAGATACAGGCAAGAGGAAGCACACTATCATACGAATACGAACAGTTGTGAGGTGGAGCAACGACAAGGGCTTCAAAAAGTAGGACAAAACTGTGACAGTCCTTGGGGCTTGTTTGCTTTTATTTTTATATTGTGTTTGTTTTTTATTTTTCGTCTATCTGGCTGCGCTGGGTCTTAGCTGTGACAGACAGGACTTTCGGTCTTCGCTGTAGCATGTGAGATCTAGTTCCCCCACCAGGGGCTGCACCTGGCCCCCTGCATTGGGCGCGAGGAGTCTTCACCACTGGGCAGCAATGAAGGCCCAGTCCTCGAGCTTTACCCTGTACCTGCTGAGTATTCCTGAAAGCTTCTGTTCTTTATTTTAAAATCAAAGTTATACACAGTCACAATCTGTGGGACTTTTTTTTAAACAAATAAAACTGGCCTATTGGTCCACTACTTCTACTTTTTTGACACTTTCTTAATGATCATCTCTGTGATTCTGAGTAATGTGAACAACAGGAGGTGAGTCTCTCCTTCACCTTTCACTCTCTGCTGCTGCTGCTGCTAAGTCACTTCAGTCGTGTCCGACTCTGCGACCCCACAGACTGCAGCCCACCAGGCTCCCCCGTCCCTGGGATTCTCCAGGCAAGAACTGGAGTGGGTTGCCATTTCCTTCTGCAATGCATGAGAGTGAAAAGTGAAAGTGAAGTCGCTCAATTGTGTCCGACTCCTAGCGACCCCATGGACTGCAGCCTACCAGGCTGCTCCGTCCATGGGATTTTCCAGGCAGGCATACTGGAGTGGGGTGCCATCACCTTGTCCGTTTCACTCTCTACACATATACAATTCCTTTCATTACCATACTTGCTCAAGCCAGCTTTATCATCATTTTGGTGAGATCAATTTTAGTGCTTACATTATTTGGATGATGTACATTACAGCTGGACAATATAGTACAGTATGATTTTCTTCCCTTTCCTTTCCCTTTTACTTCTCTTCATATTTACTGCTAATTCGTTGTCAAACTTTCCCTCAATTGTTGGCTGAGAGAAGGTTTAAACACATCACCTTGTGGGAGATTGTCAAAGCACTATGCTATGTTCCAAACTGCAGCAACTGTTTCACAGATTGGACCCCATGTTTTCCATTTCCCATGTCTTCATCATTTTGGTGGAATACCTCTACCAACAGCTTCCTGAGAAAGGGAATTTGGGGGGTAAAACTCTGCAGACCTTGCCAAGTCTGAAACAGTTCTTATTGTACCATCGCAAATATAGTCTGACTACTGACTTCAAGTTAGAAACCATTTCCTTTTATAATATTAAAGATATCGTACCTTTATCTTCTAGCTTCCACTGTTGTTGCTCAAATGTCTGAAGCTATTCTAACCCTTTTCCTTTCTCTCTTCCAATTTGTAAGATTTTCTTTGTCCCCTGATTCAGAAATTTCATAATGCATTTGGTAAAGAATTATTTTAAACCATGATTCTGAACATTTGACATGCCCTTTTAACAAGGAAACTTCTGTGTTCAAGTTCTAAAATGTTTTTTCATTGCATTAATGATTTCTTTCTCTCCATGCTGTTTAGAATTATTTGGACATTAAAATACAACTAGACCAATCCTCAGTTTCTTTCACTCTCATTCTTACCTTGTGTTTTATTTTCTGAGTGATTTAGTCAATTATGTTTCCTAACTTTCCAGAGATTTTTTTTATGTTATATATTTTATTCCTAAAAAACTATTCTGTTTTCTCAAAGTGCCCTTTTAAAAACATAGTACATGATTATTGTTTTACTGACATAATCTTTTCCTTTATCTCTAATATAAATCATACTTGTGGTTTGGGTTTTATGTGCATGGTTTGGTGTTTTGTTTTTTTTTTCGAGTTTTCTTCTAACTGCATGTCTTGGATTCCTCAAAGTTGCTTTTTGCTTGAAATATTTCTCATGAGTCTGTATACCTGATGTTTATTCACATTTCAGAATACGACATTTAAAAACTGATTGGAACTTGTGTGTAAGTAGGGAAGTAAACTCTCAACCCCTGGCTTTAGTGAGTGGTATCTTTAGGTCTTTTTTTCACTGGGCTTCAGATTTCTCATCTCTAAGAAATCTTTCTATTTTAAGGTTAAGGGTTTGGCTGTTAACATTCCAGGACCTGAGTAGGGAAACACTTTCAATATTCAGTATAGAAGCTTCTACTTTCCCTTGTTGGGTATACTGCACTGATACATTCACCCTCAAATCCACAGTGTTCTCTAGAGCAGCTGTGGTTTTATCTTTTTCAGGGAGTAGAAGATGGATCTTTGACTGAAGGCATGGTGGTAGTGATTCACTTGCTTCTTAAAAAGACTCTCTAACCATCAGCCTTACCTCTACTTTCAAGGTCACTAGTACCACTAATTTCTGAGCCTCCTGGTAGTTCTGCAATACAATTTGGATTGATTCTTAGCTTTCCATGCTGAAAGCCCGGGAATGAGCCCTTTCAAATCCACTGAATCTACAACTCCATCTAGGCACTTCCCTGGCAGTCCAGTGGTGAAGACCCCACACTTCCACTGAAGGGAGCATAGGTCTAATCCCTGGTCGGGGAAGTGGGATTTGAGTGCTATGTGAAAAAAAAAAAAAAAAAAAAAAGACTACATTTATGTATCAGAGGCCAGAATTTAGTTGCTATGGCCTCCTGTTCTTTTTGCCTCTCTATGAACTTTCTACAAAGATCATTTTACTGTCATCTTTCTACAGTAAAGTAGAAAGTACATTAGAAGCAGAGCTAAGTCACTGAACATTTTTTGGCAAGAACATGACACGTATGAACCAGCAGGTAACTATGACAGCAATATAAGGGAGAAGGAGAATACAGATGGTAGCATAATAACAAAGCAGTAAACTGCATTCTATTTATGAAGAAGTTAGCACCGTTTATAATTAGCTTTCCAGACACTTACTGGACACTTGTAATCTCGAGCTCTTTCATGTTTCAGGATGTGCTTTATAAGGGCATATCGTCTCTGAAAAACCATTCCACATTCCCCACATTTATGGGATGCTTCTTCTTCTGTATTCTCTTTAGCATCCCTTTTCGGCTGTTTCATCTTTTTTCCTCTTTGAACTAATTTCTGAGCCACCTGATTAAGGAACAGAAAACACAATCCAAATTTAACTATCTCAAATTCACATTACCTTATTAATAACACTGGTATTTAAAACATTAAGTTGCTTTCTTGCACCCACTCCCCTCCCCCTCAAAATATTTTTCACCATAAGTTTATCAACAGAATGTTTTCAACTTAAAGCTAAAGCTACAAAGGTGAACTCTTTCTTCATCATACCTGTTGAACTGCTGACTTGGGAATGGCTTTCCGTTTCTGCAGCTTCTTCTCCATTCCTTTGTGTAGTCGAATATATCCCCCTTCATTAACAGAACGCTGCCGAAGTCTGCTTCTGTAAGTGTCATCATCCAGGCCATGGTCCATCAGTGCTGTCGGTTCAGCTAGGTTTTCCTCGTCAAGGTCCTGCCTGTGCTCTGAAATGTCGTCAGCACAGACATCCTCAGCTGCAGTATCATTTCCTATATCAGTGTTTCCTGGAGAGCTACTGATTACACTGTCCTGTGAAGGCTTGGGATGAGTACTAGAAACTGTGCTATCTTCTCTGCTGTTGAAAGTTTCCAGTTCTGTCTGGTTGGTTTTTGTTACTAAATCACCAGACCCCACTGCAGGATGGCAATCAGTTCTGCAGCGCATAGGCGATGCGGTGGCTCCGGCCTGTGAGGAGACCTGGGGCTCAGGCTGCTCCCCGTTCTGCTCTGGCAGGTCCCCGTTCATCAGCAGCACGATCTCACAATCCCCGAGTTCAGCGGGCAGAGCTGCTGGGGCCCCCGTGCTGTTGGCCACGGGAGGCGCTGTCCCTCCGTTTTGTTCTTGTAAGTCCTGTGTAGACGCAACTGTTTGTACTTCACCCTTCTTATACACTGTTAACTGCTTCTCTTCCATTAGTTTATGCACACTTTCACAGATTTCTAAAACTTCTGACATGAAAAGATGGCGAGCCAAGATGGCTACATCAGCCATGCTACAGAAGTCAAAACTTAGCACAGAGGTATAGGCAAATTCCAGTAAGGGAAGGAAACTAGCCTTACAAAAACCTATGCGAAACAAGAAAGATGAAAGACAAAAAAGTCAAACCACCACTAAAACACCTTGTCAAAACAACTACTGTATGATTATGACAATATAAAATACAATATAAAGGCAAATATAACCATTTATTCTGCAATCAAACACTCTGGAATTGTTTTGAGTTCTGGCTGCTTATTAAGCCTTGACTAACTCACTTCCATTAGTCGTGTCTCTCAATACCTAAAATAGAAAATAATATCACACTTACTACCTCAAAGAGTTGTTGTAAGGCAGTCATTTTCAAACTGTACTCCTTAGAACCCCGGGGGTTCCTCAAATTCCCCTCAAGAAACAGCTGCTGGAGAATGGAGGGTACAAAAAGAGAGGGAGGCAGGTGAGTAGGCAGGGTTCAACCAACCTGTCCCCTAACCTCACTGCAGTAAATGTAGCTGTATATTTTAAAACAGAAGTTCATATAAAAATGTGATTGTGAACAAAGTGTTCTATTACTAAAAATTTTAAAACAAGGTCTATAGCAGGTGGTCGGCAAAACTTTTCTGTAAAGAATCAGATAGTAAATACTGCAGGCAACCAAGGCATCTGTTTCAACTACTTAATTCTGCCACTGTAGCTGGAAAGAGAAACCATGTATTGTAACATGTATATAAAGGAGTATGGCTATGTCGAAATATAACTTCATGGAGGAAAAGGAGGGAAGACTGCCCTTCCAGCTATAGTTTGCTTATCTTTGGTCTAAGGAATAAGACAAATTACTACACACCAGGCATTAGGTTCCCATTTTATGTGAGAAAATAAGATCAGTTCCATTCTAAGTTCTCAGTACTTCACATTCAAAAACCATTGTTAATATTCCCATGATTCAGAAATTAGAAGATTACATAGTTTTAAGTCCAATTCCATCTCCATAATCAGAACAAATTAACAATTTGTACAGCTTTTTAAGAGTCTCTATACAGCCCAATAAATACTCTTCCGTCTCCTTACAACAGGTATTGCATTACACACACTTCACTGTGCCTTGCTTTTCTCATACATAATAATTTGTCTTAAGAGATCTTTTATTAAAAATGACAGAGGGCCAAAGCAACCTTTTAAAAACTCATGTTTGCTATATTTTTCAGTTTTGACTGAAGATACATAAAATGTGGTCCTTTTACATAGGCAAAGAAGGGATAAACAAGTAACAGGCATACAAGGAAGCCTTAACCTGTGAGATGTACTAGGAGTCAGGTTGGAAGCTGGGGAGACTACACATCAACACGACTAACATGGCTGATTCAGTCATTCCCAGGAAAGCTGATAATTAAGCTGGCTGAAACCATATTAACACTGCTACAAATTATGAAATTAAGTTAATAAGCTTGAGGTAAGAAAGTATTTCTTTAAAAAAAATGTGCTTTGGTCTTTTATCTAGTACCTTTTTAATTTCTAAGTTGAAGTCAATCCAGAAGCATGGAAGAATTAATACTGTAGAAATGATCACACTACCAAAAGAAATCTACAGATTAAATGCTATCCCTCTTAAATTACTCGTGACATTTTTCACAGTACTAGAACAAATAAACCTACAATTTATACGGAACCATGAAAGATCCAGAATTGCCACAGCAATCCTGAGTAAGAAGAACAAAGCAGCAGGGAGGCTTCAGACAATAAATACAATGCTACAGTAATTAAAATAGTTTGGTACTGGCACAAAAACATATGGATCAATGGAACAGAATAGAGAGCCCAAAAAAACCCACACACATAGAGTCGATTAATCTTCAACAAAGAAGCCAAGAATATGCAATAGGAAGAAGTCTCTTCAAGAAAAGGTGTTGGGCATGTTGGAAAGCTACATGTAAATCAATGAAATCTGAATGCTCCTTCACATGATACACAGAAATAACCTCAAAATAGCTTAAAGACTTAAACATAAAACGTGACACCATAAAAATCCTAAAAGAGACCACAGGCAAAACATTTCTTGACATAAATCATACCAATGTTTTCTTAGGTCAATATCTCCAGGCAATAGACGTAAAAGCCAAAAATAAACAAATGGGACCTAATCAAACTTACAAACTTGCAAAGCAAAGGAAACCACAAACAAAAAGGAAAGGTAATCCATGGAATGGGAGAAAATATTAGCAAATGATGTGACCAACAACAGTTTAATCTTCAAAACACACACACTTCATATTAACAGCACCAACAAAACAAACAACCCAATCAAAAAAATGGAGAGAAGAACTAAATAAGGCATTTCTCCAATGTCTTATAGATGGCCCATAGGCACATGAAAAGACATTCAACACTGCCACTGTGGAAAAGAGTATGGAGGGTCCCCCCAAAATTAGTAACAGTTGCCGTATGATCCAGCAATCTCACTCCTGGGCACATCTCCAGACAAAATCAACAAGATACACGCACCTCTATATTCACAGCAGTAAGACATGGAAACATCTAACTGTCCACTGACAGATTAATGGATGAAGAAGATGTGGTACAGATGTACAATAAAATATTGCTCAGCGATAAAAAAAGAAGAATGAAATAATGCCATTTGCAGCAACATGGATGGAAGTGAAGTCAGAGAGATAAAGACAAATACTATACGGTGTCACTTATACGTGGAATCTAAAATATGACACAAATCAACTTACCTACAAAACAGAAACAGACACACAGAAAGAGAGAACAGACTTGCTGCCCATGGTAACGGGGAGTGGAGGAGGACTAGGGTGGGAGTTTGGGGTTAGCATATGAAAATTATTACACAATAGGATGGAAAACAGCAAGGTCCTACTGTATAGCACAAGAAACTCACCATGCAGTGATAAACCATAAAGGAAAAAAATATTTAAAAAGAATATTTATATAAGACAGAATCACTTCGCTGTAGAGCAGAAATTAACACAACATTGTAAATCAACTATACTTCAATTTAAAAAATTTGGTTAATAGGTAAAAAGGGTTATCGGGCTTTTGTTTACCGAAGTACAGCAGACGTACAATATTATATGTTTCAGGGGTACAACAGTGTTCCACAATTTTTAAAGGTCATACTCTCATTTGTAGTTATTCCCTGTACTATATATCTTTGGAGTCAAGTATTCTTTAAGAGCAGTGCTGAGCAAACACCATTGATTGCTATTGACTAGACTATTTTACAACTGTGTAAAAACTAACTTACAGAAAATAGCAAGCACAAATGAATTGTAAAAGAATAAGAAGTTATTTCTGTCAGGGTTGGCAAGGTAATTCCAAAACTTTATTGGTTTATTTCCCTATAGGGTATTAACCAATTTTTCATCGATCAGCAAATTCATTTTCAGAAAATTCATTTCTCTGGTTGAAAGACAATATATACAATTCTTGGGAATTGTATAAGAAGCAGTTTTAACATCGTTCTGGTCTCCACAATTAATTATGTAAGATCTTGGACTATAGTATTTGCATAAAAGTTAGGTTTTTAACATTTAAAAATTATGTATTGGCCAAAGGGTAAACAAAGTTTTCCTGTAAACAGCCAGATAAGCAAATATTTTAGGTTTTGTGGACCACTGGTTTTTGTAGCAACTGTTCAATTCCACCCTTCTAAGTTCAAAGCAGCCACAGACAATAGGCAAATGAATGGATGTGGTTGTCTCAATAAAACTTTATTTACAAAAGCGGTCAGTGGGCCAAGATTTGGCATGCAAGTTGTAGTTTGCCAGCTTCCTTTTTTTTTTTTTTTTGTAAAGCCAGTAAAACTTTAGTAAAAAAAATTTTTGAAATGAGAGAAAATGCACAATGAATGAAAGATATATCTACAGTCATCGTAAGCATTTATAAAAGGATATAAAAAATTCTGTGCTGGGGCAGAGCTTCCTTGCCTGATAGCTGGTATCTCTTACAAACATCCTACACTAATAAATCTATTTCCTGCCTATCACTTTGCCTCTTGCTGAATTTCCTCTGCCCTAAAAATTGTTTTTTGTGCTAGAATTCCTTGGCAGTCCAGTGGTTGGGACTCTGAGCTTTCACTGTGGAAGGCCTGGTTTCCATCTGTGGTCCCAGAACTAAGATCCTGCAGGCTGCACAGCATGGCCAAAAAAAAAAAAAAAAAAATTGTGCCAATAAATTTGAAAATTTAGATCAAAGAGACATATTATGGCAAATACACAACCTTCTATAAATTACTCAAGATGAAATAGAAAATCTATAGAATAATTTCCTAATTATTAAATGCGTCAAATTAGTAGCTAGAAATCTTGCCCCAAAGTCTCAATACAGGCCCAGTCAATTTTAGCCATCGTTCTACCAAATATTCAAGAAATAAATCTAATTTCATAGTAACTACTTCAGTGAATGTAAAAAATTGGAAGGAACACAATTTATAAGATTAAGCTGACACAACAAACTGTGAAAAAGAAAAATTACTCCTAAGTACAGTCTAACGTTAGTACTCTAAACCAGTTTGTATAAACCATTCTAAGCAGTTTGTACAAAATATGATGTTATGACTAAAGTGGATTTATTTCAGGAATTAAAAACTGGGTTAACATTAGTAAACTGATATAAAATTTCCCACATTAACAGAATGAAAAGATAAAGATGATCTCAACAGACACAGAAAAACTAAAGTCCACATTCATTTCAGAGGGAATTTCCTTAATGTTAAAGGGGGAAAAGGATTATCTATTTAAAACATTTACCAAACAATATATTTCACAGTAAAAAAACAAAAAACAAAAAACCACCTGTTCTTTAGAAGGGGAATAAGTGAAGTCTTTATCACTACCTCTGTTCAACTGCTATTTTTTTGAGGTTCTAAATGGCACTGTAAAGTAACGGGAAAAAGTTAAAATATAAGAACTGGAAAGACAGAAACAAAACCATTACTATTAGCACATAATATATTTGTTTTATATGAAAAATCTCAAAGAATCTATAGGTAGATGTCTGAATGACTAAGGTAATTAAGCAGCGCTACTATATTTAGTAATCAACAATTACTAAAAATAAATCAGAGATTATATAATTTTAAAAAATTGTAATAGTATTAAAAAGTATAAACTACCTTACAATAATCTAACAAAAGATGTGCAAGGAAGTTCTCTGGTGGTCCAGTGGCTGAGGTTCCATGCCCTCAATGCAGGGGGCATGGGTTCCATACCTGGCCAGGAAACTAGACCCCACATGTTCCAACTAAGTGTTCACGTGACACAACTAATGGTCCCACAAGCCACAACTAAGACCCAGAGCAGCCAAATAAATAAATGAATTTTTTTTAATGTGTAAGACTTTTATGGAAAAATATAAAACTTTATTAATTCAATGTAATCCCTATCAAAATACATTTTTCTTCCTTTTGTGGAAGTAGATAAGCTGTTTTAAGTTTATGTGACAGAGCAAAGGGCTCTGAATAACTAAGACTCACCAGAACAACAAAGGTGTAGATTTTCATTATTATTATAAAGATAAGGTAATTAAGACCACGCAATAATGGGGAGGAAGAAACAACCAAAAGGCCACAAAAAAATGCAGAATCAGTACCAAACGTGAACATTTGTTAAGAAAATTTGCAAGGTGGATGTGTAGGAAGAGGAAGTTTTCACTAAATTCTGAGACAAGTGATCAAAATAGGAAAAAATGAAATCAAATTATTTATCGCACACCATTAAAAACATTCCAAACAGATTAAAAGTTAAATATGAATGAGAAACTATAAGACCATACACGAAAGTACCTTTATGACTGAGTAGGGAAGAAATTTTTGAAAGCATAACAACACTGAATTCAACAATATTAACGTAGGTAATAAGAACACAGATGTACATTTTATCATTTTTTTAATATTTACGTTTAATTTAATATTTATCTGACAATTAGTCTATTTAAAAATCAAAGATTTTAATAATATCTACTTCACTTGCTATTAGCTTACATCATTATTTGCTGAACAAAATGTAAAAATAAGCATATGGAATGAAGAATAACCGAGGTATTTTGCTGAAATAATATGATGCTGTGCTGCAGTTATCTGGGAAGTAGAGATTTCATTCGCTATAAGCTGCTGAGAAACGAGAAGAGAGGAGCACTCTTCTTTCTGCTTCACATGCAAGGAAGATAAGGAAAACATTTCAAAGCTAATATATCAAGACTGTACTTGTGATAAGTTTTATTATTCATATGGCCCAGAATAAAGATGTATTTTCTCCTCTGAATCACCAAAGGAAATATCACAAATCTAGAATATAATCCTCCTCTATGCTTCATAAAAGCTTTTGTTCATCAGTGTATCCCTAGAGCCTGGCCAGTTCCCTGCACAAAGTGGATACCTGAGACATCTTTTTAAGTAATTGAACATACAGCACTATTAAGAAAAAATATATGAATTTACCTTCCCAGAGATAGATAAAAGAGGATCAGTGGCTAACTAGGTGAATATTAGTCACTTTTTTGTTTCAGAAAGGGGAAATGACAGTTCACACAGTGGTGTCACTTATTTAAGAGTTACAGCAAAGTAACTGTATAAGTAAATGTATAAATAAGGTTACCTATTTTACTGCTTCCTAAATTTTCACTTGTTGACTCCTAAGCCAATATATAAATTCTAGTGAAGCCGAAAGAAAGTCAAATTACTCATATACAATAATAATGATAATTTTAAAAAAAGGCACCTGGAATTCTGATTATTCTATATTGACAATGTGATTATCAAATCTACATGGATGATTATTAATCTTAAAAAATGAAAAACAATAGACATACAAAGCGCTTTATAATTACATGTCCCACACGTAAGATTCAATCAGTCAATTTAAAAATAATACATGTACTTGGTGTAGTAACTTTGGTGTAGTTACGGATTTCTCTCAAACTGTTTTAACAATGTAAGCCCAGAAATTCTACTAGTGCTATCACCGCCTCGCCTAACAGGCAGTGATAAGAAATGACAGGCTTTCCATATTATCTACCTTGGAAACCTTTCTAAAAGGAAGGAGCTTACAGTTCAGCTTAGTCTGGAGCTATAAATGGGCTTTCTCCACTTGAGCATAGATCCTAAGTTTGTAAGATACACACACCCTTCTTCCAGTATGTACTTCAACAAAGAGTATCAGAAATTCTTACCAGAAAGATCCACTACTGCCTCGTGACTGGAAACAGCTCCTTTCTCAATAAAAAGATCTCGAAAATATTCACTATTAGCTGACAGAACAGATTTATGAGCTTTGTACTCTTCTCCTTCAATTAACAAAGTAACATCACAGAACTGGTTAGAGAGCCTCTGTTCGTTCAGCTGTTTTAAGACAGCCTGACAATGTTTTGGAGAAGACCGTTTCACCACTCCTCTGGTGTCAACCTATCAAAATAAGTTGGAGACCAAGAGTTGCATTATATATCATTTGTATTATTACCCTTAACAAAACTTAAAGCAAGACATATTATTCATTTGTAAAAATTCCACTAATATGAATAGCCCAATATTCTTTATTACCTATGTATTTAAATAAAAAGATATGTTGTTCTCACCATCTTCTGCTATGTTCTCTTTACTTGACCCAATGAAAACCTACATCTCATTTCCTACTGCTTCTTTTATTAGTCAGAAATTTATCTGATAATGTAAGACATTGTTAATGCAGGCAAAAAACAAAGACCTAGCCAGTTTGATTTTACCGTGCTGCATGACCCACAGACTGCTTCCAGAAATGTATTCTGTCTACCTGTACCAATATACCAATTAAAAAGAGGAGGGGAGGAATAATTAACAGCAAATCAACAAGTTACATTCTGAGGAGAAGAAACAACATGAATGTTTATGATTAAGAAAGAGGCAGTATTAGCAAACATTTAGCACATGTACCTGGTGGCTCAGATAGTAAAAGAATCTGCCTGCAAGGCAGGAGACCGGCGTTCAAGTCTGGAAGATCCTTTGGAGAGGAAATGGCAACCCATTCCAGTACTCTTGCCTGGAGAATTCCATGGACAGAGGAGTCTGGCAGGCTACAGCCCATGGGGTGGCAAAGAGTCTGACAGAAGTGAGGACTAACACTTTAGCACATGTAACAATGTAACAGTCACAGAGCCCACTGGGAAGCAGTTTTAGAGGTTTAAGAAAAAATACTATAAATACTAACACACTAGTTACAAATGTAAAATCTAAATGGAAAGCTCCACTTACAAACACAAGTTCATGTTTGGATACTGGCTTCTTTTTCGCAGGCTTGGAAGCTGTAGTTGGAGGCGAAGTAAAGTTGCTCAGGTCATCCTCTGATTCATTACTTTCTTCCCCAGATTCAAGATCTAGTCCCAATTCTTCCAGCATTTCTGAAGCATCCGATATAGGACGTGAGCGATCGAGTTTCTCCTGGCATTTGCTACATTGTTTAATGTAATCTTTGACTTGCTTTAATATACCTACAATGAAATAAAAATTTAGTCAGACTAAATTTGATACTGCTCTCACTTGAAAACTAAAGATTACACTGATAATTTAATCTTTTTACACTAAATTCATATTCAAGCGCATGTGTACAGACACACACATGCCCACAATGTAGAGTGAACTCTTTAAGATACCTTTTTTCTTCAAAGATATGTTACAAATGACAATCTGTTTCCATGCTGACAGACTGCTTTGTTTACTCTTACTATGCATTTACTCACCATAAAAGGATTATGCAGCACCACCCATTTCCACTTGAGATTCAACTCACTTATGCAATAGTAACTATATGAAATTGTCAATATTCAACTGCTTTGACCTTTATAAACAGTAATACTGTGGTTCATGCTAATAATGCCCCCCTCTACAAACACGAGGCCTGACCGTGCTTTGGTCAATGGAATATGAACGGATATGATGGATGTCATGTGTTATCAGAAGCTTTAATTCCTTGTCCCCTCAAAGGACATTCAAGTGCACATGTACTGAATGTGTACTGGAACATGTATGTTCCAGGGGGATAATGTCCTTTAGCCTGAACTGCAGATGAAAAAAAATAGGTGGAGCAAATCTGCAACCTGTACAGGATCACACCCAAAACTTGTAATGGGTTTAAAATCTCATCTTTGAAAACAGAGATTTTAGGGTTTTATTAAACAGTATACACAGTCTTTGAGCTGTGGTGTTGGAGAAGACTCTTGACAGTTCATTGGGCTGCAAGGAGATCAAACCAATCAATCCTAAAGGTAATCAACCCTGACTATTCATTGGAAGGACTGATGCTGAAGCTGAAGCTTCAATACGTTGGCCACCTGATACAAAGAGCCGACTCATAGGAAACGACACTGATGCTGGGAAAGATTGAAGGCAGGAAGAGAAAGGGATGACACAGGATGAGATGGTTGGATGGCATCACTGACTCGATGACATGAATTTGAGCAAGCTCCAGGAGATTGTGAAGGACAGGGAAGCCTGGCGTGCTGCAGTCCATGGGGTTGCAAAGAGAGAGACGTGACTGAACTACTGAACAATACACAATCTAACAAAAGTTGATTATACACAAACCATTCACAAAACCCTATTTTAAATTTCAATTTCCAACTCAGCACGCTGGGGGGCTGGCGGGGAGGAGGTAGAAAGCAGGGAGGAATACTTTACATGCACACATACCCTCTCCATCATACTTGTAAGGGAGGACCACCAATTATCTGTCATTCTACCGACAAGGAAAATGAAGCCCTAAAAGTTAAGTCACATCTAGTAAACTACATAAGTCTTCCCCAAGAAACCATGTGGTTTTTAGGATATGCTATTTACCCTGAAACATTTAGCCAGGATGCTATTTATCCATCCCTATGGCAGAAACTTCTCCCACAATCCCCAAGTAAAATGCAAATGAAAAGACTTGTTACCTAAAATGATACAGAAAGTGAAAAGTGGAAGTCACTCAGTTGTGTCCAACTCCTTGTGAACCCATGGACTATGCAGTCCATGGAATTCTCCAGGCCAGAATACTGGAGTGGGTAGCCCTTCCCTTCTCCAGGGGATCTTCCTAAACCAGGGGTCAAACCCAGGTCTCCCGCATTGCACACAGATTCTTTACCAGCTGAGCCACCAGGGAGGCCTTATATTGTAAATTCCTGGAAAGTTTCAAAGTGACAAATTATACTAAGTTCCTTGCATTTCAACTTTCAGACAGTATTTGAGTAAATTTCTCAAACTGTATTTGAGGTATTTAGTAAATATGCTTCCCATACTTACTAAGAAAAAATGTATACACTGGATGAAGAAATTCAGAAAATTATACTGATTTTATAGCCACACAAATAAATTTTATCACATTAGAAGCTGAGCTCTACAGTAACCTGTTAACATAGAAATCTGCCCAATTTATTTGTTCACCATCCCCCACCCAGAATATAACAAGAAATATTAGCATTAAATACAACTTTTATAAGTATTTATATGTGCACAGATAAGAGAGAAACAGAGGTTATAGTCTAGTTTCTGAAAATATTAATTAAAGTCAATAATAAGTCTACACCTGGATTAGATATAGCAAGCAAGTTGTAACAGATTGATAATAAACGGGTTAAAATGGAACATTCCTGAAGACGAGTGGCTATGATGGCTACACAACAATGTGAGCAGTGTGCACTTAATGTCACTGAACTGCACACTCACAAATGCTTAAAGTGGTAAAAGGACCCATGGGTATGTGAGTGGGAGAAGAATCAGATGACAATATATATATGGAAATTTCCAAGTCCAAAATAAAGATGACAAGAAGAAACAGCTTTTTCTAATTAACTTTGGTTGTATTTCTAAAAAATTTTACAATGCTACACAGTTCAGCATATTCTGCATACAGCAGACATTTTATTAACACTAATCAAACTAACACCAACTGAGTTCAAACCACTGAAGAAATTACAGAGAAAGCATATGAACGAAATGAAAACTACTGGGACTTCCCTGGTGGTCCAGTGGTTGAGAATCTGTCTTCCAATGAAGGGGAATCCAGTTAGATACCTGGCTGTGGAACTGATATTCTAAGATCTGCCAGAGAACTAAAGCTGCACTCGGCAACTAGAGAGCCCACACACCGCAAGGAAGACCCTGGGCAGCCAAAACAAAAATTAAAGAAGAATGAAAAAGACAAGGAAACGTTGCACACACAAAGAAATCAACCTGTTTCACAGGTCCTTTTAACTCAAGTGTTGGTGCTCTGATGGGATCATTTTAAATCCAGCTTTACAGATTCAGGGACCTGATCTCTTGAGCTTGCCTAGAGCTGATGAAGCTGAATCTGACTCAAATTAATCACTGAAAAGATATCAACATACTTGAGTATTTTCATTTTATTACCACAAGGGGTAGAAAATTACTTTACGCAGGAAAATTAGAATCCACTGACCAGCTTTGTGACCATGTTCCAAGTTACTAACCTCTCTGCGCCTGTGTTATCATCATCTGTAAAATGGGGATAAGAGCACTTCCCTCACAGTGTTACAGTGATAAAATATTAATAGTTCTAAGTCACTTTGAACAGTGTCTGATATAAGGTAACTACTACTATGACCCAAGTGTTAGACATTTTGGGCCAGATGCTTCTTGTTGGGGGGCAGGGAGAGGTAAGTAGGCTGTCCTGTCCTGCGTACTGTGAAATGTTTAGGAGCATCCCTGCCTCTACCCAACCAGACATCAGTCAACAGCCACCCCACAGCTACCACCACCAGTTACCACAACTGGAAGTCTCTGGACACAGATGTTCTCTGAGAGACAAAACTGTGCAGGGTTGAGGACCACTGCTCATTCTGGTTGATCCACCAGAATGGACCATTTGCTCCTGTCAACTGTTCAAGAACCTCTCCCTTCCCCATCAGTGGTGAGGCCTAGAGTACTGGCTCCTATTTCTAGCTCCTTCCTGTATTAGTCATTCAGGTTTGTTTGTTTTTTCCTTCCAAGTTACAAAATAGTTACAGCTGTATTTACACAGACCCAGTTCCTGATGGGTTTTCAAGGATTATACCCTCTTTTTCTTGATTAGATAATGGCAGGATTGATTTATCCCCACAGAACAAGTCAGTTCCTTGGGTAGAAAGCTCTGCATATAGTTAATTTAATCTATTATATAATTTTGCTAGCTTAATCTTTTTTTTCTACTAATTCAATTTTTTTCTTCACATTCTGCATTAACTGTAGATCCCCATGAGTCAGCATTTGACTGAGACAGGGGAGTCATTTATTTTGAAACTCCAGCGAACGATTACAATACAGGATAAAATAAGGGGTTGAGAAGGCGATTATATCTATTAACATTTTACATTATTAAATAAATTTGCTGTATGTATGTCAACATTAGACATTGAGTCAGAGTTTTTCACTGTGCTCAAACAAGTGAAGCTGCTACAAACTGGCCCAAGTACCAGGATATAATGGCAGTGTTTATGAGGGAAGCATTCTGGAAAAAGCAGCATAATTAACAAATTCCAGTAAACTATCCTTGACTCTGAAATGGTTTTTTTCTTGGCATCTACACTGATCAAGTCTTATTTGTTCCCAGTCTACAGAACTTTGAATATAAATCTGAGAGTCCATTTGCAGTGTATGACACATTAAAAACTAATAATTAAAAACGTTTATCAATATCAGTTCCAGGTCAAAGGACATTTATTTTTCTCTATATATAGTTTTGCTAATTTCTTTTTTCTTTTTAGCTGCCCTGAGGGGCATGCTGGATCTTAGTTCCCTGATCAGGGAACCACTAGACTATCATGAAGTCCCTAGTGTTGTTAATTTTAATAGACTTAGAGTAAACAAATAAACAGGCAACGTGTTCATGTAATAAACATGAAAATGAACAGCTAATAATCGAGAGCAAACTCTTCTGATACTTATTGACTATGAATTCTCATCCTAAATTAAGAAAAAAACCAATGAGAGAAAATAGTATGATAAACTCATTACACGTTGACAAAAATAGCATTTATATGAAAAATAGTATTTACCAAAACATAAAAAAAAAAAGTGAGAAAAGCAGTGCTACTTTACAGTTTTGCCTATCTTTTTAATGTGTCATTTAACGAAAGACACGATCATATATGCATTCAATATAATGCCATATAGCACACGTGATACAGTCTCTGGAGAACTCCACTGAATACTCCTGAGACAATGAGTGAAAAAGAAAATAGTGCCTTAGTATTATTATGAATATAATTTTGACTTTGGGGATTCTCTTAAAGGATCTCAGAGCCTCTGAGTTCTGTGGCTTAGTAAAAAAAACTCAAGAGAACAGCTGTCTGGACATTTAAGGACTTCAAAATTCTACACAACCATCAATGTATTTCTTATTTTAAAAAAACAAACATAAACAGAGTCTCGGGGGGGGGGGTTGTCTTTTAAGACACTGCATACTAATCCAGATCAGCTATCACTCACAGATAATCAATTTAGGGAAGGAAAATTCTGAACACTAAACTCCATTTAGCACCATATATAATAGTAAAGAAAAGTCTAAAATCCCAAAGATCAGCTCCTGGCGCTTTTAATTTTCCCATCTGCAATATAGAGACATTAATGTTTCCAATTTACATGGTTTGATGACGCTTAAATAGGTGACAGGGCTTCCCAGGTGGCACAAAAGTAAAGAATCCGCCTGCCAACGCAGGAGAGGCAAGAGACAGGCTGGATCTCTGGGGTGAGAGGATCCCCTGAAAAAGGGAATGGCAACCCACTCCAGAAATCTTGCCTGAAAAACTGCACGGACAGAGCAGCCCAGCGGGCTACAGTCCAAGGGGTCACAAAGAGTCAGACACGACTGAACACATTACACGAATATGTGAAAGTAAGTGCTCAGCACTATACTTGCATGCAAAAACTTGACCTGTATTATCTTCAGCTATAATTATGTTAACATGCCATAAAATATTAAACCTCAGAAGTTTGTTCTCTCTCTAAACAACTCAATCTTAAAAAACTGCAGCATTTACTTCGCATTATTCCTTCACAGTTGTCTCTTTACAGGACTTAATTTAGATATTGGTTTAAAATGCAGTATAAATTAAGGAAAAGCATTTTAGAATACAGAGCTGGACTGTTTTTGAAAACACCAAAGCAGCAAAACGAAATATTCAACAAATTTCATAAACTGAAAAGAACTTTGAGAAACTACTCAGTCGTCGAACTTCCTCACAGGTAAGTTACCCTAAGTTAATTTCTGTAGAGCCATGCGGAATCCTTCCTAACAAAACCTCTTCTATAGGCCTGCAAACTTTTATTAATTATAACCGAACAGTCTGACTACTCATCAACTTTTTGGAGAGGGCGGTAAAAACCAACCAACCAACCAACCAACCAACCAACCAACCAACCAACCAAGGGTCCGTTCTCTCCTTCCCTAACCTGGCTCCCAAGAAATCAAACTCTACAGAGTCACACTCCCCAGGACCACAACAATCACAGAAACCGCATCTTTTCTGGGCTAACGCAGTGCCTCAGTTTCCAAAGCACTCTTCACAATATCAAAGAGAAAAATATTAAAATATCCAGAATTGGGAGCATCTATTACATTCCTATCGTAAAAACTAGGCTCAAATGATTGGTCCCACAGTCGAATCACTGCTGCACAAAACTGCATGATTCCTTATTCAGGGTATGGGCGGTATGTGCTATACGCGGTACAGCACAATCATGAACCCTGGTAAGCACGTCCGCAAAACCTCAAGTTCGCTGGCCGACACGCTTAGGGGAAGGCTTCGCAGAAAGCGGCTGGGCTGGGGGCGGACCATGCTACCCCCAAACCATCAGCGTAAACAGGCGTTTAAAGCGCAGCATCCGCAACGGCCGCCCAGAAGCTTCCGCGAAGGGAAGGAGCCGCCTCACCCCGCGCGGCCGAAGGAGGCGGGCCCAAGGCAGCCCGCGCGTCGCGGCCCCTCCCCGCGGCTGGTCCGGCCCCCGGGGAAGCCCCCTTCGCCCCACCCCAGGCCAGGGCCCGCCCCCAGCTTCCCCGGCCTCCTTCCTGTGGGAAGTGCGGCTCCTTTCGCGTCCCCCACCCTCTGGGCTCTGCCTGGCAGGCGCTCCGCCGCCGGGCACAGGTTAGGCTAGATCGGTGAGCGGAGTCCGGGGGGAGGCTGCGGGGAACCTCACACTCGCGGATGCACAGACGGGCCTGCTCCGCCTGCGGGCCTTGCCTGGGACCGAGCCGCCAGCCCGCCCGCTCTCTCGCCGCGGGCGAGGTCGTACCTCGCCACCAATACGTCTTGGACAAGTCGTGCCAGGTCTGATGCTGGGTGTGGTGAGTGCCGCCCGGGCCCAGGTGCGCAGCCTCGATGAGCCCGCGGCGCCGCTCGGGCTGCAGCACCACCTCCAGCTCGGCGAACGTCTTGCGATGCCGTTGCCGCCGCTGGTAGTACAAGGTCCCGTCCCGCACCACGTAGCACGCGGCCGCCTTGCGGATTTTACGCTTGACATTGCCCTCGGTGCCTGGCGCGTACGGCTCGCACTCGTTCGTCAGGTAGCGCAGGATGGCCTGGTAGCTTTCTTCGCTTGACATCGCTGACGGCGGCTCCCTGAGGGTGCCTGTCAGTGGCAGGGAAGGAAGACAGCGCACTAGCTCCGGGCGGATGCAACAGCAGCGGCGGTACTATGGGAAGGACCCGTTGTGTCTGCAGTGAGTGCTCTTCGACGGCGCCCGCAGCGCAGAGGGAGAACAGACGAGTCGGTAACCAGGAGGAACTGCACTTCTCCAGCGCGCGGGATCCGCTGGCGACTGACAAAATGGCTGCTGCACCACCGGAAGTGACGCAAATCAAGGGCAGTGGGTGAGGGACCTGAGCCCTGATTGGAGCGCAATGGCTTTCTGGCTGGATCTAGCCGACTGAGTGACGTCAGGACTGCAGGCGGACATTTTGGAAGCGGGTAGGCCCTTCCTGGGAGAGCCAAGTGTTTTTGAGCAGACATATTAAGTCCTGGCAGTTTCCCTTTTTTTATTTTCCCCTTCTTTCCCTTGCCCTGAGCACGTGTAGGAGCCGCTGGGCAGTTGTTAACCCCGGATGATACCCCAAGGTGCAAAGGAATCTTCTCCGTCTACGTTTTGAGACAACCGAAAACATAGAGTATATTGAGGTCTGTAGCCACTTAATTTAAGACCAAATAAGTCCTTTCACAAGGAAATGTAGTTTCCTGTCAAGTGTTAACAAAATTTAAATCCATCCGTGGTAGGAGTTACTGTAGTTTCTAAGCTACCGCTGGTTCCAAACTACCCGTGGATAGTCGATATTTTTCTGCAGTGATCAGCTTATGTAGTGACGATTTTATACCTATTGAGTCAATCATATTGGCAAGGAGCAGTGAAGAGGAGCTAGCACTTGTTTTTTTACAGCTTGGGGGAGAAAAACACTCCGTTTTACACCCAACATATACTGAATGCACCAAAGGCCACGGCGATTGGAACTGCACTTTCCAAGGTGAGGTGTAGGTCTTATGTCAGATTTTTCACTGGTAGACGGGGGCGGTCGCCCTGGTCACCTCTCCGTGGGTTGAGTCTGCCTCGCAGTTAGGAGACTCAGGCCTCAGACATTCCAAACCATCCGGGGTCTGGCACTTAGGTGCTTTCCTGGAGTCTGAAAACTCCGAGCCAACCCTCTCCTGACCCTGCCTAGATCTGCAGTCGCCCAGTGAGGCGCTGAGCCCTGCGGAGACAGGTGAGAGCCGATTGCAGGTGAAAGCAGTGGGCTCAGAAAGGGGGGTACACTCGGTCTCCAAGGCACTTGGCCAGTGGGGACTGCAGCAATTAACCAACGGCATACTTAAGGCACTTGCATATTCTGGCTGTAACTCTGTGAGCTCCCAGTCCCTGAGGCAAAATACAACTAGCAGGCCTGGGGTTTACTTGAAAAGTGAAGTCGCTCAGTCGTGTCTGACTCTTTGTGACCCCATGGACTGTCGCCTACCAGGCCTCTCCGTCCATGGGATTTTCCAGGCAAGAATACTGGAGTGGGTTGCCATTTCCTTCTCCAGGGGATCTTCCTGACCCAGGGATGAAACCCAGGCCTCCCGCATTGTAGGGAGACGCTTTACCCTCTGAGCCACCAGGGACGCCCCAAAGAGCTAGTGTTTGAACCCAGGGATTCCGAAGTTCATGCAGATGACATGAACCACACTGCCAAACACAGGGTTTACTTAGGGCCACTCATTTCAGACCACATTTAGGGGAGGGAGGCATTAGAAGGTGGAGACACATCCCTCCCCAGAACGTTTGTCCAAACCCATTCTCCATGGGATGTGTCTGTTTCAGTGTTTCGCTGTGAAATAGATGTCTTTTAAAACTGATGTAAATAGATTAAAATGTTAAGTAAACAATTTCTGGCCGACCAAGAGAAGCTAAGTTAGAAATAACCTCTCATGCCAAACACAACCAGAGATTCTCCTGTGCCTTCGAGCCAGTAGAGAAGGGTTTTAATAAAATGTTATACAAGTGGTCCAGTGGTCTTACTGAGAAAAGCTAAACTTGCTGTCCTATGAGAATAGGTGTTTGGGGTTTCCCTGGTGGCTCAGATGGTAGAGAACTTGCCTGCAATACAGGAGAGACCCATGTTGGATCTCTGGGTCGGGAAGATCCCCTGGAGAAGGAAATGGTAACCCACTCCAGTATTCTTGCCTGGAGAATTCCACAGACAGAGGAGCCTGGCAAGCCATAGTCGATGGGGTTCCCATGACTGAGTGACTTAAGTTTCATTTAGTGTTTATATCCTCCTAAACTTTAAGCTATTCATGACTGAAAGATAATCAGAATAGGGCAGTTCCATTTCCAGATATTTAAGACCAGAAAAGCAGTGCTTTAAGGGGACATTTTATTGTGTTCAAAAGAACGAACATGTAGCTCTGTATTCATGTTGAGTATTTTGATTGATCTTTTTTCTTAAAATTTCATTTTAAAAAATTACAATAGGGACTTTTTCAGGAGTCAAGTGGTTAAGACTCAGCCTTCCAATGCTGGGAGTGTGGGTACCACTCCTAGTCAGGAAGCTAAGATCCCACATGCCACAGGGTGCAGGGGAAAAAAAAATAAAATTTAACTATTCCTATACAGAAAATCATGTTTCTCAAGAGGATGTTGTTTATTTCTTGTTGTATCCTTGCGACTTAAGAGTGGTCGTACATTGGATGATCTAATTTTCATAGATGTGCAAGCCTCTTAACACCAATTATGATTACTATTTTTCATATAACAATTACATAATATAGTAACTTGTAACTTGATTATCAGCAGGCTACTAAAGACATTTTTGCAATTTTAAGGACAGCTTTGCCAGACTCCCAACTCAAAAACTATTTTTTCTAAGAATACTCAAGATCCTTGAGTATTGCAACCTTGGGGAATTCCATGGCAGTCCAGCAGCGAATTCACTTCTATGGGCCTAGGATTTCAATCCCTGGTTGGGAACTAAGATGCCACAAGCATCACACCACAGACCCTTCCTCCCCACAAAAGTGTAGTCTTCATTTAAGCTTATTTTCTGGAAGCGAGAGCAGATAATAAAGGCGAGTTTTAAGTAGCTTTAGCTCAGCTCTAAGAAAATGGTTAAAAGTTGAGATACTAGAGAACCAAATGCATCCCCAGTAATGAAATGTGTCTATCATGGAAAAGGGTAGTTTAACAAGAAAACAACCCATTAAAAATGCTTACTTTTGCTAACAGAAGTGATAGGAAAAGAAAAAAAAAAAACACAATCTTTTAGCAATCAACCTGGACTACAATCTATACAACAAAATGCAGTCTAAAATCTACATAATGCAACATAATGTGTAATGTGTCCTTACAGCCTCAGGTGAGTAAGGACTGCATTTAACCATACAGATCTTATTTAGAGATAAATATTTAACATCTCTCCATCTAAGAAACTTATATTAGGAGTAATAGGAGGCATTATTCCTGAGAAATGAACTCTTTAAAGAACACTTAGCTCTTAAATTCTTAACTGCTATTACAGTGTAAGCCAAACATGCCTGCTTTAAGAGTAAAAATTCCACCACAATCTATATTATAATCAGATCTTTATTTAAAAATCCAATCTGCCAACTTAGCGTTTTCCACCAACTCGAGGAGCAGAAACCTTCACAGGCTTCACAATCTTTTGCTTAGGTGCTGCCTTTGTGGGAGCCTGTAAAAAGAGAACATGTTATGTGGCATTATTCCATGAGTTTGTTTTTTGTTTCAATCACTGCTCTTATGCCCATGTTGTTTGTAACCTAGATTACTTTCCTACCTAATTATTTGTGTTCCTAATATAAAGAACTCTCAAAAGTTAAAATTCTACCTCTATATGAAATATAAATGAAAGCCATAGAGGTAAGATTGAAGTAACTGAGATGTGATGCAGTGTGGGATCCTCAATTATATCCTAAGAACAGAAAAAGGTCCAATGCTAATTTTCTGGTTTTGAAATTTTTATTATGGTTATCTAAATGGTTTAGCACTGATAAAAACTGAGTAAATTCTATACAATTACAGAAAATTTTTACTGAAAAATCTAGAATTATTTCAAAATAAACATTATTTGCCTTTCTCTCGTTTCTATATAGCACTTACAGACTCATTTAAGGCTCTAACAAAGGACCTCTTTGGAGTCCTGAATCACTCACCCAAAAACCAATCATGGACATCATTTTTATTAAAGCCTTACACTTCATTTACCACAATTTGGGTTAAAAATAAATTCTCCTGTTGCTCTAAATGAGAAATCTTGACAATCCGATAATTACCTTTGCAGCAGCCATTGCTGTCTTTTTAGATGCTTGCTTAGCCTTTTTTGCTTCCTTGGCAGCCCTGTGGAGTTAAAAATAACAAGCAAAAAACATTTTACTCCTTAAGGGTACAGCTTATTAACAAAAGGCTAATGTTTGGGAAAGTAGAAATAACATATTCCTTCACCATCTGCAGTTATTTGTATGATAAATCCAAAGGATTTATTAACAAATGTGATTAACCGCATCAACTTAACATTAGAAACTGTATAGTACCTTTATAACTGCATACAGAATTTCAACAAATCATTTAGACTTACAGTATAAACTTCTGTATTATTAAACACGAACATGTACAACTGACAATCTCTATAAAGATTCAAATATCACAACCCAAAATAACATCAGATTAAGATTCTATTCTGTAAACCCATACATAATCTAAATTCCATGTCAGTGACTGAAACGGCTCACAGTGAGATTTCTCACCTGATAGCTTGTTCTCGTTGAGCCTTCCTAACTTCAGGTTTCTGATTCCTCTTGGCCATTATATCAGCAAGAGAGGCACCAGTTATGGCCCTCTGGAATTTGACTGCACGGCGAGTTCTTTTCTTTTGAATTTCTTCCTACAGAACAGAAAGATGGTGAGCATGCTGAGAAACCTTACCTCATGAATGTGGGGGAAACATGAAATGTCAGGAGACGGCAAAGGAGCTCTCCCTCGAACCTTCTGCACCAATCCCATTCATGGGGGCTCTGCCCTCATGACTTTCATCTCTCAAAGGTCCCACCTCCTAACCATCACCTTGGAGGTCAAGTTTTCAACATGTGAATTCTGGGGAGAACACAATTCAGACCACACAATATTCAACCAGTGAGTTCCCTGGTGGCCGAGTGGTTAGGACTTTGAGCTTTCACTTTTATAAGTTTTCCAATTATAAATTGGTTAAGCCATCTGTTACAAATGCTGACCATTATTTACTACTTTATTTAAAAAGACAAAGTTAAACTCTAAGAAAATTAACTGAATGGTACTTTAAAAGGAATTTTAGTATGATTGTTCATGATAAAGAATGTGCTTCTGGAAAAAAGATTAACCTCAAACTCTGATTTGTTTTTACTCAAAGTACTGACACTGGCAGAAATAGTCAAGTTAGAAAACTGATGAAGACAGGAAAGCCACCAAATGTTAAGGAATGTTTGAGTATCAATATAATTCAAACATTTGCTGCAGATTCTATATTAGAAATCTATAATACAGTGCTTATGAGAAGAAAGATCTTGCCTTTAAGTCCAAGGAAAAATAAAACAAACTGTTTATTAAGGCAGGGATATGCAAAATATCTTAAAATTTTTAATGGGACATATGGAGAAAAGAGGACACATTTGTGGTTAGCCAAATGCTCATTTTAAACTTTTTATCAAGATGAAATCTTACTGGATAAAATGCTAGTATTTACCTATTTATAATTTCTCAATCCACTTAAAAACATTTTTTCTTATTGTGGTAAAATATATACATTAATCATTCTAAAGTATTTTTAAGGGTATAATTCAGTGGCATTAGGTACCTCTGCAGTGTTGTGCAATCACCATTTCTGTCTCCAGTACTTTTTCACAATACAAAACAAACTGCACCCATTAAATAAGGGCTTCCCAGGTGGCTAGTGGAAAAGAACCCGCCTGCTAACGCAGGAAACAAGAGACACACAGGTTCGATCCCTGGGTGACAAAGTCCCCTGGAGCGGGGATCACGGAAACCCATTCCAGTATTCATGCCTGGAGAATCCCATGGACAGAGGAGCCTGGCGGGCTACTGTCCACAGAGTTGCAAAGAGTCAGACGTGACTGAAGCAACAGTCACAAATGAAGCGACTTAGTACGCACATGTCACATTTTATTATCCATTCATCCACTGATGGGACATTTGATTGTTTCCATTATAACAGAGCTACAAACATCAGCATACACATTTATCTATTCAAATCCCTGCCTATAATCCTCTAGAATATATACAGCCCTAGAACTGGAACTGCTGGATCATATGATGGTAATTCTCTTAACTTTTTGAGAAACTGCCAAACCACGTTCCACAGTGCCTACACCATCTTCATTCAGCAATGCACAGGGTTCCAATATCTCCACACCACCACCAAATTTGTAATTCCTCCCACCAACCCTCCCCGTTTGGATAAGGGCCATCCTAATCCTAATGTCACATTCACGGGTTTTTTAAAAATATTGTGTTAGACTTTGTTGTTGTTGACTGTCTTGTGTCTGCCTCTGCGACCCCATGGACTGTAACCCGCCATGCTCCTCTATGAAATTTCCCAGCCTTTCCTCCTTCTCCACACTTTTTTCCCCACATTCACTTTTAATTTAGAATTCTCCTTTCCTCTGAATTCCCATAATAACTTTCTTGCCATGGCACTCAAACTTTTTCTCAAAAATCTCTTTTCATCAACCTAAAAGACCACTCCAAAAAACACATCCAGAACTTACCTAGTGGTAAAGTGGTTAAGAATCCACTGCCAGTGCAGGGGACACAGGTTCCATTCTCGGCCCAGGAGATTCCCCCTGCCTGGAGCAACTAAGCCGCTGAGACACAACTACTGAGCCCATAGGACTAGAGTCTGCGTTCCCCAAGGAGAAGCCAGCCCACCCCGCACCGCAACTAGAGAAAGTCACAGAGCAGCAACAAAGAGGCAGAGTGGCTATAAATTAGAAACACATCCAGTCTTAAGAACTAACTAATATGCTGCAAGACTTCACGATGTGATACCTACATTAGGAATAATTCTAAAAGCATTACAACCAATAACAAGTTTCCATAAGAACTATTTAGTTTCCACTCAAACATCTTAAACACTTCCACAGTGCCCTATAACTCACCTGAGCTTTATGTAACTCACTAACTCTGGAAAAGGGATGCTGTCAAATTTCAACTCAGTTTTTACTGTGAGCTGAAGATACAAGGAGGCAATCCTTACAATCATTCTCACTTCACTGTTTGATGCGCAACAGTTTGAGAGTATTTTCACATACTGTCTCATTTAATTAGTTTTATAAAGCAGCAGCTGACGCTCAAGAGTTTTAACAACTTTAGAGCAACATTAACAAAGTGCGTTTCACTTACCGACTGTCCTTTTTTGTGTTTTCTTCTGTAGAGGACAGTCCAGTTGATCTGACGAGGATTCCTCTTGGAAAGGAATGCCGACTCACATTTTGCATTAAGAAACTGGAAAACCTGTCATGACAAGTTCAAAGTAGAGGCCTGAACTTGAAATTATTAGTAAATATTCTAGTAACATCCTCTCATTTTACAANCCATGCCCTGGGTAGATCTTGAACCTGCTGAAACTGCCCAGCTCCACCTTCAGGGTGGCTAACGCCAGGGAGAAGGAAAGATCTGTTCTGCTTTTTTAAAATGTGTTCAACTCCAAGATGAGGTAAAGAAGCCTGAGAATTCTGCTGTATGGTTAACTGTGAAATCATTTCTCTCTCTCTCTCTTTTTTTTCCCCCTTTTTCCAGATCCAGACATTTAACGTGGATGCACCATGCCAGACCGTGGAAGATTTAACGAATGGGGTTGTGATGGCCCAGGTCCTTCAAAAGATGTAAGGATAAATTGCTTTATCTTTTTCTGTGTTACGTACATGGATATTTATTAGATTGAAAACAAGGACCAAAAAATAAAGTGTTCGCTTGAAACACGAGTTGCCTGTAGACTGAGGACTGAGCAGCATATGTGGTTTGGGTGGTCCATGCTCATTTCAGCTGCAGGGTAGTTGAGGCTGCAATTGTTACCATGCTCCAGCAGTTCTGGAATTCTTCATGTGTTTTTTTCAGCAAGTGTGGCAGACATTTTCATGTTAGCATCCCAATTTTGCCATTCTAGAGCGCTCTTAAGAGGCTTCCTCTCTCTGTAGGACTCTGCCCAGATGTCTGATCAGCAAGGGTGATATATTTATATTTTTACATTTTATAAATATGTTTTATTTATAAAATAAAGGAAAGGCGTGCCCCATGTTCTGTGTCCCTGTTAACCTTCTGTGTGCTTCTAGAAGTAGGTAGCGCCATCTCATATGCCATGTATTTTACTCGTGTGTTACCTGCTGCTTTCACAGACACCCATCTGCAGACACACACACACAGATAAGCTCCACCTGGGGGTGGGAGGTTTCTTTTGTTCACTGCTGTGTCCTAGCACCTAGGACAGTACCTGGTTTTGGAGTAAGCCATCTGAAAATACTCTTTGTGGATCCAAAATAGTCAAATGTCAGCATCTCTTGGTTCCGTCTGTATCCTGGGTCCTCTGTTCACTGACTAATGGAAGGAGTGAGATACTCGTTTGGGATATATCATGTAAAATAATCCCAATTCTTTCCTTCTAAGCACTTTGAAAGCATGGTAGTTATAAAATTGATATTATTAGGTTGTCTTGAACTTTTGGCCTAGGAACTTTCGAGTGAAGGATTACCTGTGAATTTATGATGTCATTAGGTGTGATGCGATCTGGGGACACGGTTGTCTGTTGAAGCCTGAGACAGTGAGAGATTGCCTGTGGCTGCCGAGGCTTCCCGCAGCGCGGTTGAGGACCTGTGTCACCATGAAGTCTTCTTGCTGTTGCTCACCTCGCAGGGAGCTGTGGAGAGCGGCTCGTCTGAGAAGCAGCTCGGACGCCTGCGTTTCAGGGGCTCTGCCTGCCTTTCGCGTTAGGGGTTCGTGCCTGAGAACTGTAGCTTGCTGTCTTTCTTCTGCACTCACATGGCACGTCCCTCCTGATACACAGGCTGTAGGCTTTTTGGTGGAACTCGAGGAGGCTTGCCTAAAACCTGACCAGCCCTGGGCCTAGCACTAAGAAGAGTGGTCTTGTGATTTCCATGGTCACCTTTAAGTGGTGCCCTAGTAGCGTTTTACACAGCCTCGAGAGTTTCACTCAAGTTCTTAGTAAGAATTATTTGTGGGCAAGTGGGCATAGCTATGTGAGCTTTCCAAGTCAGTGTCAGTAAATGAGTTTTTTTGTCTAAGTTACTTTGGGTAGGATTTCTATCCATTGTAGAAACCATGAGAAAGCCTGTTTGTATATATTGTTTTACCAAACCAAGATCGTAACATACATTATGTTCTGCCAAGTGGTTGTTGTAATTTATTGTAGTCTTGTAGATATATTTCTCATCAGGATTTTGTTTTTGTACCCTTTTTTCTCAAAATGCATCCCTTTTTTCAAAAAAAGGTGACAGATTTGTGTCTGTGTATGTATGTGTTGTATGCGTATGCATGTATGTGTGCACACATCGGTGTAACCGCCACCCAGGTAGAATGTACAAGATTTCAGGCTCCCCGATGGTTCCTGCCATGCCCTTCCGTAATCAATACCCCTTGTCTCCAAGATACCGTGATTCTGAGTTCCAAACCATCCTTGTCACAAGTGGAATCTTACAGTTGAGACTCGTTTGTGTCTGATTATTTCAACGTAATGTCTGCATGACTCATCCATGTTGTTCTGCATTGTCTGTTTTAAATAATTGCGTCATATAGCTTCACAGAAGCTTCCTCCTCTGTCAGCTTGATACTTACTGAGCAGCTACGCTGTGTCCAGCGCCGGTGAGGCCAGGGCAAGCACAGACCACAGGGTAGTTGTGTTCAGAGAGTTTATAACCTAACTATGGAAACAAACTTGCTAATAAAACAAGCGCTGCAGAGAAAGTTGTGAAAGTGTCAAAGTTAGCAGGCGACTCTGCAGGACTCACATTCAGAAGAGTCCAAGCCGTTGATATCCATTTGGGTGTCTCTCAGTAGAAGCCGTGAGTGGATTACATCGCTCAGGGAAGAATATGGAGGAAGAAGAACACAGGTGTACCTCAGCCTTGAAGACCTTCGACGTTCAGCTGTTGGTCAGAACGTCGACCAGCAGAGGGGCTAGGAAGGCCTGCAAAGTGTGGGTGCCCAGAGAAAGGGCAGGTCTCTTCATTTTGCCTGAGCCGAGCAGTGAAAACCTGGATCTTCCTGTTGTCTTAGTAGAAATTTTATCAAATATATTCATAGTATGCTTATTGTTAGTGCAGCTTATTTTTTTCCCTCTCATCTTTTGACTCATTTTCTGCTCATCTGCTTTTCTGCTTCCAGCATCTTGTTGCTGCCTCCTCTCTTGCTGTTTGCCCATGTAGGTTCCCGTCTCCCTGTTTTTTGTTTTTAATCAGTAGACTTTGTTTTTTGGAGCAGTTTTAGTTTCACAGCAAAACTGAGTGGAAAAAAGTTTCAATACGGGATGATGAGAAAGTTCTGGCGGTGGATGGCGGTGATGGTCGGACCAGAGTGTGAACGTACTTCATGCCTCTGAGCTTAAAAAATGGTCTAGATGATAAAGTCATACGTATATTTTAACTACAGTAAGAGAAGTTTTTAAAAACTGAGCGAACAGTCTGGTGACCTCCCACCTGCTCCGTGCCGCACCCCACACAGACCCTCCCCCGCGTGGGACGTTTGTTATCATTGCTGAGCCTGCGTGGAAGCATAGTCATCACCCAGCCCCCAGTTTACGGGAGTTTCATTACAGCCACACAGAATAGCATCTGCCCTGAAAATCCCAGAGCTCTGCCTAGTCACCCCCACCCCCAATGATTGTCTCCACTGTTCAGCCTTTTCCGGTCACGCAGGGTGTAGACTGACTTCTTTCACTTAATAATGCGCATTTAAGATTCCTCCTTGTCTCTTCCTGGCTTGCCCGTTCGTGTCTTTTGAGGGCTTATCCCCAATTTTTTAAACAGCTTTGTTGAAATGAAAGTGACGTGCAATGAATTGCACATTTGTAGAGTAGAATTTGATGTGTTTTTTTTTACTGGTGGAGATGCCCAGGAAACTGTCAAGAGAAGGAGCATATCAGTCACTTCAAAAGATCTTCTCAGCCTCTCCTTCCAGCCCCTTCACCCCCACACACACACACATCCCCAGGGCAACCACGGATTTGCTCTTTGTCGATTAATTTGCATTTTATAGACAGTTATGTAAATATGCTCACAGTATGTTTTGCCTTTAGAGGGAGAGGTGGTGGCTTCTTTCTGTGCAACATAATCTGAGATTCATCCGTATTGTTGCCTGTATTATTGAAGCACACGCATGTTGCATTGTACAGGCGCAACTGTAGCCCGTCCCTCCAGCCCTGGGCTACTGTAGTCTGGGCTGTTACAGATAGAGTGAGGCTCTGTTAGCATCACAGTCGATCACAAATGCTGTGAGCATCGGTGTTCCCATCTTTGTATGGACATACGCTTTCATTTCTCTTGGGCAAAATTCCGTGTAAGGGTGAAATGACTGGTGTATGTTTAATGTTCACAGGCAGTGTGTGAGTCTTCCAGTTGCCCCATGGCCTCAGCACTTGCTGAAGCCGGTGTTTTTCATTATAGCCATTCTAGTGGCTGTCCAGGGGTACATCACTGTGGGGTTTACCTGTATTTCTCTCAGCGTGATGACTAGTGACATTGGGCATCTTTTCTTGTGTGTGTGTGTGTGTGTGTACACACACATATATATATTTCCTTTTGTGAACAGTTTGTGGTGGTCTTTTTTTAACTTTTTAAAACTGAATATAATTGATTCACAAAGCTTTGTTAGCTTTTGGGGTACAACAGGGTGACTCGGTTATATGCATATATTTAATATGTTCTTTTCTGTTGTAGCTTATTGCAGTTTATTGTATACAGGTTTCTGTGCTGCACAGTAGGGCTTTATTTTGTATGTGGTAATTTGTATCTGCTAACCCCAAACTCCTAACTTGCCTGTCGTCTCCCCGCTTTCCCGTTTGGGGACCACACGTTTGTCTTCTGTGCCTGTGAGTCTGTTTCTGTTTCACAGATAGGTTCACTTGTGCCGTATTTTAGAGTCCACATATAAGTGATATCATGTGGTTTTTGTCTTTCTCTCTGACTTCCTTCACTTAGTACGTAATCTCTAGTTGTAGCCTTGTTGCTGCAAATGGCAATATTTCCTTCTTTTTTTAAGTGGCTGAGTAGTACTGCATTGTATGTATGTACCACATCTTCTCTACCCACTCCTCTGTCAATGGACATTTAGCTTGCTTCCTTGTCTTGGCTATTATAAATCCTGCTGCTGTGAACACCGGGCTGCATGTTTCTTTTCCACTCAGAGTTTTTTCCCAGATACAGACCCAGGAATGGGATTGCACAGTCATTTGGTAGCTCTGTTTTTTAGGTTTTTAAGGAACCTCCATACTGCTCGCCATAGTGGCCGCTCCAGTTTACATTCCCACCAGCAGTGAAGGAGGGTTCCCTTTCTCTGTCCCCTCTCCTGTCTGCCTTTTTTTTCTTTTTAATACTTTTATTTACTTATTGGCTGTGCTGGGTCTCTGTTGCTGCTCAGGCTTTTCTCTGGTTGCGGGGCGCAGGGGCTGCTCCCTTGTTGCGGGGCACGGGCTCTGGGGCGTGCCCACCTCAGTGGCTGCGGCACGTAGGCTCAGGACTTGGGGCTCCCGGGCGCTCGAGCACAGGCTCACTGCTTGTGGTGCACGGGCTTCGCTGCTCTGCGACATGTGGGATCTTCCCGGCCCAGGGATCAAACCCACGCCTCCTGCATTGGCAGGTGGATTCTTTACCACTGA